TCTCCCTTTTAAGAGACACTATTCTGATTGTATTAACAAAAAAAAAATATTTTTAAATCAATGTTTTTTCTCTTACCAGTTCTGATCACAATATTATGAGCACATCACCATAAATGAGAATCTATATTCTAAAAAGGCTAAGAATAACAAAGAACACTGAAAAGTGTACGTTCTGAGATTTCTACTCAAGGAATGTTTAAGGCCTCATATTCTATATTTTACAGGAACCACATGGCTTATGGCTAAAGAATTTAAATAGCTAACACGACATAAAGAAATTTAAAGAAAAATCATTCATTTTTACTGAAAGGAACTACAATTATTAAAAATATTAAAATATTAGTTTTAAAGTAAATTCAAAATTCAAATCATTTTAACAGAACTATATGGATTTATAACCAATTTAACAGACGTTAATCAACAGTAGGCATTTTTCAACAATATCAAAAGCATAAAAGGAAACTTCAAATTTCCTTTCGTCATTTTCCTAGTTCAGACTTTTAAAATGAAATAAGTAACCTTTGTATCTAACACAGCAATGAGAAATTTATTTAATGTGAAAACACACTTATAAGAAAAAAGTAATTGGAAAGGGTCATTTGGTCCTTTATTCGTTTTAAAAGCACAATCCATTTGCTCATCATAAACCAAGTGTACCAGTTGTATGTAGAATTCACTCCTGAAAATTTCTAAAAGCGAATTCCCAAAAGACTGCTTGAAAAAAAGAGTTGCAAATAGAAGATAAGGTCTTTTTCCTAAGGTGTCTGAAAACTGAAATGAAAATATCCAAAGGAAAGGATGACTACCATTTCCCTTTAGACTTCAGAGAAACGTCAAAGAACTTTGGGGAGTCAAAGCTCCTAGAAGTCTGATGTCAGGTCAAAGTTGTCTCAACAGCAAAGCCAATAAATAGATGTCAGGTGACTAATTAAGTAAAGTTATCGAAATACAGCCCAACAGTACGGTAATTCTCCAAAAGCATCTAATATGTGAGTGCCCAGGTTGAAAAGATGGAGATATAATTATTAAAATACTTGGGAACAAAATAATACCACTGATAAGCATAGGAAACCGTATAATACAATGTATCAAGAATCTCACAGTTCTGGCTTCCTCAACATTTATTCTATTCATTCGGTAACACTTCTGAATAATGAAAAGTAACATGGATTCCCAGCATGATCTAAATATAAAAATAAGGTTCAAGTGTGTGTTCTCTAGTTGATGTTCTTTTTACTATAAGCCAAAACCGCTTCTTTATAATAATAATAAATATATATATACAGGTCTGTTTCCTGAGATCTCCTAACAGATACTGTTCACTGGTGATTAAAATATTATTTTTAATCCTTGCATTACCTCACAGCTAAAAATGTCAAGATACCACACCCAATATGTCTTTTTTACCCCATGAAGCGGGGTGGGGTGGGAATATGGAAGCGGGGATAGGAAAGTACACAGGAATATTAAAGGTGATTTCCCTGGAAAGCACAGGGCAGGCGCACAGGCACCGGGTCGCGGCTCCGCTCCACCGCGATCCGGGGGACGCGTCGAGAAGGGTGAGCACAGGCCTCGGCCTCTGCGGGCTCTCTCCCTCGCCACCCGCAGGGGAAGTGGCCGGGACGCGCCGGCTGGGGCTACTCACCGGCCGCAGCGCTGACCAGCAGGATGGTCCATGGTAGCCAGGGCACCCGCCAGGGCCGCTGCAGCGAGAAAGTCATCCCTGGGCCAGCCAAGAAGCAGGAGAGCAAAGAAAAGAAATACGGGAAGTGGATACCCGCGGAGAAACAGCCGGGAGGTTCGTCTCCTCTCCCGTGGACTGATCGTGCCCGTATCACAATGCAGTTTGAAAGGACAAATGGCAGATGAGAGGACCTAGCTGCAGAGCTTTCATGCCGCTGCAGAAATTCCCTTCATTTCTCTCCCTCGCGGCTGGGGGGGGTTCCTTCGCCTCGGATGGGGTGCTGCAGCCATCCAAACTGAAGGCATGTCCGTGGGGAAAGCAGGGATCCAAGACGAAATCACCGAAGTTATTTCCCTCGTAGTTTCACAATATCAAAAAAATATCCAGGTCTGGGAGAAAACATATCCAGGGTGCGGAGGGCGGGGATCGATCCGAGGCCGGGGGACGAGTTCAGAACTAGTTCCCGACTGCCAGGAAGGGCGAAGCCGGGCGGGCGGCGGCGGCGCCCGGCGGCCCGAGTCGCATCGCCAGCGGCTCCAGGAAGGCAGGATTCCTTAAGTTTCGCTTCGGTGCTTCCCTCACTGTGATTTCGAGAACAAATCCTCTTCCTCGACTGAATCGAAAAAAGTGCCTGCCTCCATGGACAAGCCCACAGTCCCCACGCCTTTGCGGAACAATCGTGCGAGGGTCGGGAAGGCCCTGGCGAGGGCTGAAGGGAGGTGGGAGCGGGGGAGGGGAGGGGTCGCGGCCCGGGCTCGAGCTCCCCGAGACGGCGAGCGGAGGGGGTGCAAGAGGCTGCCCCTTCTAGTCCTCCCAGCGGTGCTCCCTTCCCTTCCTCGCTTTTTATTCCGGCGGCTCGATCTTGCCTGAGATAAATTCCACCATGAAAGCCTTGTCTTCTCCAGTCAATGGCTCCTGTGAGAGAATCACAACCCCCCGAGGAAGCCGCCGCCGCCGCCGCCGCCGCCGCCGCCGCCTCGTTCTCCCGCAGCTCTGGGCTCCCGGCGGAGCTCGGGCGTCGCGGGCCGAGGGCGGGGGGCGGCGGGAGGGCGGAGGAAGGTAGCCGGGGAAGGGGGTGGGCAGCAAGGAGGCGAGACACCCTGCGCCCCTCCGGGAAGCACTTCCAGTGGCTCCGAGCAGACCAGACACAAAGGGGGGAGTCGCCGCAGCTGCCAGTCTGCGGCGCTCCCGGTCACTGGAGTCGCCCCGCCTCTGCCGCCGCCTCCGCCTCCTCCTCAGTCTCCAGCTCTTCCCGGCCCAGTCTGTCTCTGGCCTGTGGTGCAGCGCGGGCGGCGACGGCGGCGCGTTGAAGCCCGCACTGAGTCTGCGCGCTCACGGCCCCGCCCGGCCCCGCCCCTCGTCCGGGGCTGGCTGAGGGCTCAGAGGCCTCAGCTCCGCGGGTCTCTCCCCTGAATGGCCGAGGGCTGGGTGGGGCAGCGGTGGGCAGCGGTGGCCTCTCTCCCTCACACACACACACATGCCTTCCAAACGTGCATGGCTTGGGATTCGCGTGTGTGTTTAAGAGAGGGCGGCCACATCTTTTTGTCCAGCGTTCGGCAGACTTCCGAGCTCCGGGAATTCTCCCGGCAGAGGCGTCTTGGTCTCCCCAGGACTCTCGGAGGAAAGCCTCGAGGGGCAGAACTGCCCTCTGTTGTTTCACGGGGCTGGTGCCTCCCTCTCCGCAGCCCAAAGAATCCGGATGGACCCGCCTTTCCCAGAACCCGAGACCTTGGCCTCCTCAGGCTCCCCTCTGACTCAAACAAAAGCCGGAATTGGAAAGACCACCCCTAAATTGATGTGTTTGCTGTAATCGACGTCCTGCTTTCCTCAACCGCCCATTCCCTTAACCTTCTTAGCTGACAGGAATATTGAATATTTGCAAGGATGCGAAGCCAGAAAACAAAAAAAAAGACTTTTAATTCTATAAATCATCCCGCTGCGTGCGCGAGCCTGTCGGTACAGCGCGATGCCCACCCGAGAGAGGGCCTGGATTCACCAGGGCTGGGAGCCCTGAGGGCTTTTTAGGGCACGTGAAAGGAAAATTGATCTAGAGTTGTGTCAGGACAGAGTGGGATCATTTTGCACTCAAGGAATTGAGAAGGTCCCATTGGTACCGCTATTTCCAAGGATTTGTGTAGTGCGTTTTTTCGATCTGGTTTATACTAGCGACCAGGATAGGGGAGGGGATTCATCCCGCCCTTACACCCCGCTGCGGGGTCAGCCGACGTGGGTGGGATTTTGCTGGCGGAGAGGGGAGAAGGTGACGTGCATGGCGCCATGATCGGAAGTCTGGGTTGAATTCTTAGCTGCGAGGTGGAAAATTCGCGTAGGAGGGCGATCGGCGATCTTGAGGGGTAAAGTCTGGCCTTCCCATCTCCCACCAGGCAGTACGGTTACTCTGAAGGCTGGTTTTGCTGGTCTTTCATTGTGGCCAAGGGCACAGACACAGTCATAGATAGACTACTTAAATCATGTTCTGCTTGCTTCTTCAAGTCTGCTTTTATCTCTTTATCTGAATTTGATGTAAATAAATCTCCACATTCCTTAAACTGGTTTCTGTTATCATACTAAACATCTTCCATAATTAGAGGTTGTAGCAATACCAGCCCCGGATTCTAAGACTCTTTTTAATTGAAATAGGTTTGTACTGTTTACCCTTTAGGCAAAGAAAAAAAGTTCTATATAGCAAAATCCCTTAAAAAAGACAAGGAGCATATGCTTTGATTCATTAGCTTTATTTATTTATTTATTTATTTATTTTTAATTTTTTTTTTTTTTTTTTTTGGCGACGGAGTCTTGCTCTGTCGCCCAGGCTAGAGTGCAGTGGTGGGATCTCGGCTCACTGCAACCTCCGCCTCCCAGGTTCAAGTGATTCTCCGTCCTCAGCCTCCCGCGTAGGTGGGATCACAGGCGCCCGCCACCACACTGGGCTATTTTTTTTTTTTTTAATATAAAGATGGGGTTTCACCATGTTTGTCAGGCTGGTCTTGAAATCCCGACCTCAGGTGATCCGCCCACCTTGGCCTCCAAAGTGCTTGGATTACAGGCGTGAGCCACCGCGCCCGGCCTAATTTTTGTATTTTTAGTAGAGATGGGGTTTCACCACTTCGGCCAGGCTGGTCTCAAACTCCTGATCTCAGGTGATCTGCCCACCTTGACCTCCCAAAGTGCTGGGGTCAAGGCTAAGCCACCGCGCCCGGCTGATTCATTAGCTTTATTACTGTATTTTGTTTCGTCCAAAAGTCCAAAATCAGAAACCAGTGTTGTTTTACGATTTGTCTTTTAAGAACTGAGAGTTTCTAGCACTCAGAGAAATTGGATTTTTGTATGTTAGAGATGCAGGAAATTTATTAGTTCATAGTATACTTTTATGTTCCTCAAATTGAGATCAAGTACTTCATCATTAAATTTTTATTTGCTTAAGATTTTTCCAAGAAACATTAAGTGCCCTTTGTGGTAGTTTCCCCCTATCTACAGTTTCAGTTACCTTCGGTCAACCACGGTCTGAAAATATTAAATGAAAAGTTTCAGAAATAAACAATTCATAAGTTTTGTTTTGTTTTGTTTTTGGGGGGCTTTTTGTTGTTGTTTTGTTTTGTTGTTTTTTTGAGATGGAGTTTCGCTCGTTGCACAGGCTGAAGTGCAATGGCACAATATCCCCTCACTGCAACCTCCGCCTGCCAGACTCAAGCGATTGTCCTGCCTCAGCCTCCCAAGTAGTTAGGATTATGGGCATGCGCCACTACGCCCAGCTAATTTTGTATTTTTAGTAGAACCAGGGTTTCACCAGGCTGGTCAGGCTGGTCTCAAACTCCCGACCTCTGGTGATCCACCCATCTCGGCCTCCCAAAGTACTGGGATTACAGGTGTTAGCCACCTCACCCCATCTCAGAAGTTTTAAATTGAGTACTGTTCTAACTAGCTGTGATAAAATCTCTGCCATCCCACACCGTCCTGTTGAGATGTGAATCATCCGTTTGTACAGTGTATCCGCTATAACCTCCTTAATGACTTAGTAGCAGTCTCATCAGATAGACTGTGGCAATGTGCAGTATCCAAGTGCTTGTGTTCAACTAACCCTTATTTTCCTTAATAAAGGCCTCAAGGCCGGGCCCGGTGGCTCACGCCTGTAATCCCAGCACTTTGGGAGGCCGAGGCGGGTGGATCACGAGGTCAAGAGATTGAGACCATCCTGGTCAACATGGTGAAACCCCGTCTCTACTAAAACTACAAAAAATTAGCTGGGCATGGTGGTGCGTGCCTGTAATCCCAGCTACTCAGGAGGCTGAGGCAGGAGAATTGCCTGAACCCAGGAGGCGGAGGTTGCGGTGAGCCGAGATCGCGCCATTGCGCTCCAGCCTGGGTAACAAGAGCGAAACTCCGTCTCAAAAAAAATAAATAAATAAATAAAATAAAATAAAATAAATAAATAAATAAAGGCCTCAAAGCACAAGAGTAGTGATGCTGGCAATTCAGGCACAGAGAAGCTGTAAAGTGCTTCCTGTAAGTTAAAACATCAGAGTTTTTGACTTAAGGAAGGAAAAAAAAACATGCTGAGGTTGCTAAGATCTCTGGTAAGAATGAATCTTTGGTGGGGCACTGTGGCTAATGCCTGTAATCCCAGCACTTTGGGGGGCCGAGGCGGGAGGATCACTTGAGGTCAGGAGTTCGAAGCCAGCCTGCCCAACATGGTGAAGCCCCATCTCTCCTAAAGATACAAAAGATTAGCTGGGCATGATGGTGCCTGCCTATAATCCCAGCAGCTACTCTGGAGGCTGAAGCAAGAGAAACACTTGAACCGTAGAGTCAGAGGTTGCAGTGAGCCAAGATTGTGCCACTGCACTCCAGCCTGGGTGACAGAGACCCTGGCTAAAAAAAAAAAAAGAATTCTATTTGTGAAACTGAATTATGAAGAAGAAAAAATAAATTCATGCTAGTTTTGCTGCCACACCTCAAAGTGCAAAAGTGATGGCCACAATGCATAATAAGTGCTTAGTTAAAATGGAAAAGATATTAAATTTGTGAATGGACGACATAACAGAAATGTATTCCAGTTTACAGCAATTGGGTTCAGTACTCTCTGCAGTTTCAGGCGTCCAATAGAGGTCTTGGAACATATCCTTTGTGGATAAGGAGGAGGGAGGACTAGTATCCATGTTATAAATGTATGATAAATTATATAGAACACAGAAAAGGTCCTAGGAAATTCACATGAAAAAATACATGCCACTGACTTGGTAGGTAGACAGCTAGATATGTACCCTCTTTCCTTTTCTCTTCCTTTTTGTAATATCTCAGTTGCGACATGGCTGTTCACTCACAGTGAGAAAGAACATCAAAGAACAGAATTAGGACTTGGCAAGAAACCTGTCCACGACAAAAGGCAGACAATGTAAGTCAAGCTCAGCTGAGAACAAAGTACTGGTGGTACAGGTAAGGTTTGGCATTTGTACTAATCAAGATGGGCTAAATTACAGTACCATCCCCCAATCTCAGCATCTTATTGCAACCAAGGTTTATTTCTCACATGTTACATGTTTGATATAAATCGGGGGGTCCATTGCAACTTCAGTTGACCAGGAAATAGACCCCAAAACTCTGAAGTTTGTATGCAGGGGTTATTCCCTAATGATGGCAAGAACAACCTCTGTGGGGATTGAGGGATGCAAGACTGGGCACAGGGAGAAGTTGAACTGCAACATATTTGCAACTGAGGCATCAGAAAATCCTGCAGGAATTCTGGAGCTGGGTTGGCCTATCAGCATTGTCCTAAATTGAGAGAGAGAACCAGGTTCTTACACCTTCATACCAGCCAGTCACTGGATATGGGCTGCACATATAAAGGAGATGTGATCTTTAATAAAAGGGCTCTCTTTACCCAACAGCTATCCCCAGTGAGGGACCCAGCTGAGCACTGTCAGCCACCAGCATTTTCAGCATGAGGTTGGGAGTTCAAGACCAGCCTGACCAACATGGAAAAATCCTGTCTCTACTAAAAATACAGAATTAGCGGATGTGGTGGTGCATGCATGTAATCCAGCTACTCAGGAGGCTGAGGCAAAAGAATTACTTGAACCCAAGAGGTGGAGGTTGCAGTGAGCCAATATCACACCACTGCACTCCAGCCTGGGCAACAAGAGTGAAACTCCATCTCCAAAAAAAAAAAAGACTACTTACTCAAAGACAGCATTTTTGGTAGTTGTACATAAGGCAGAGGCTTTTCTAAGATAACACAAAATCAGATGTCATAAAGGAAAAAAAAGGAAGTTCTATTTGCATAAAGTCA